AAGGTGGAGTTTGAATTCAAAATATGGGATTAGACAGTCTAATGATGACCATTGTCGATTGCTGGAAAAAAAAACCCAGTGTTTGTTACTGACTTTCAGGGTAGGAAATTTACTGTTCTTCCCTGGCTTACATGTGACTTCAGACACAGCAATGCTGTTGAGGGGGCAGTTAAGGATGTTCAATAAAAGTGATGGCCCTTGCCAATGATGGCCACATTCCAATGACAAAAACTTCTATTCACTTCCCTAATTACTTGTATCTGCATACTAACCTTTTGTAATTCACGCACACATACACTGATCCCTACACATCATCATTACTTAGATGACAGCAGGAACTGCCGATGCTGGAGTCTGAGATAACAAGGTGTACAGCTGGATGAACACAGCAGACTAGGCAGCATCAGAGGGGCAGGAAAGCTGACTTTTCGGGTCTGGACCCTTCTTCAGAAATGGGGGAGGGGAAGGGGATTCTGAAATAAATAGAGAGAGGGAGAAGGTGGATAGAGGAGCAGATGGGTGGAGAGAAGACAGACAGGTCAAGGAGGCGGGGATGAGATGGGCTGGTTTTGGGATGAGGTCGGGAATGGGGAGATTTTGAAGCTTGTCAAGTCCACATTGAGACTATTGGCTGCAGGGTTTCTAAGCGGAATATGAGGTGCTGTACCTCCAGCCTTCGGATGGCATTGTTGTGGCACTGGAGGAGGCCCAGGATGGACATGTCGTCCAAGGAGTGGGAGGGGGAGCTGAAGTGGTTCGCGACCGGGAGGTGCAGTCGTTTGTCGCGACCCGAATGTAGGTGCTCCACAAAGCGGTCTCCAAGCCTCCGCTTGGTTTCCCCGATGTACAGGAGGCCACATCGGGTACAGTACGCACATTAGCAGATGTGCAGATGAACATCTGTTTGGTGTGGAAGGTTTTCTTGGGGCCTGGGATGGAGGTGAGGGGCGAGGTGTAGGGGCTGGCATAGCACTTCTTGTGGTTGCAGGGAAAAGTGCCGGGGCTCGTGGGGAGTGTGGAGCGGACAAGAGAGTCACAGACAGCGGTCCCTCCGGAAGGCAGATAAGGGTGGGGAGGGAAATATATCCTTGGTAGTGGGGTCAGATTGCAGGTGGCGGAAATGGCAGAGAATGACACGTTGGATCCAAAGGTTGATGGGGTGATACGTGAGGACAAGAGGAATTCTGTCTTTGTTGTTATTGCGGGGAGGGGGTGTGAGGGCTGAGGTGCAGGAAACGTGAGATGCGGTCAAAGGCATTTTCGACCACTGTAGAGGGGAAATTGCGGTCCTTGAAAAATGAGGACATCTGGGATGTCCGAGAGTGGAATGCCTCATCTTGGGAGCAGGGGTGAAGGAATGGGAATAGTGGATGGCATTCTTGCAGGAGGGTGGGTGAGAGGAAGTGTATTCTAGGTAGCTGTAGGAGTCAGTGGGCTTGAAATAGATATCAGTTTCCAGGTGGTTACCAGAGACGGAGATAGAGAGGTATCAGAGATGGTCCAGGTGAACTTAAGGTTGGGGTGGAAGTGGATGAACTGTTTGAGCTCCTCATGGGAGCATGAGGTGGCGCAGATACAGTCATCGATCCAACGGAGGAAGAGGTGGGGATAGGGCTAGTGTAGCTGCTGAAGAGAAACGGTTCCACGTATCCTACAAAGAGGCAGGCATAGCTTAGGCCCATGTGGGTACCCATGGCCACCCTTTTCGTCTGTAGGAAGTGGGAGGAGTTGAAGGAGAAGTTGTTAAGGGTAAGGAAGAGTTCAGTTAAGCAGATAAGGGTGTCAGTGGAGGGGGACTGGTCGGGCCTGCGGGAGAGGAAGAAGTGGAGAGCTTTTAGGCCATCTGCATGGGGAATGCAAGTATATAGGGACTGGACGTCTATGGTGAAGATGAGGTGTTGAGGACCAGGGAATTGGAAGTTTTGGAGGAGGGATGGCTTGGGTGGTGTCACGGACGTAGGTGGGGAGTTCCTGGACTTGGGGGAGGAAATGGAGTCGAGATAAGTTCGGTACAGCAGGAGCAGATAGAGACAACGCGTCAGCCGGGGCAGTCAGGTTTGTGGATTTTGGGAAGGAGATAGGAACGGCCAATGCAGGGTTGGGGAACTTTGAGGTTGGAGGCTGTGGGTGGGAAGTCACCTGAGGTGATGGCCTGGGAGATGATGTTTTGGTGATCAGGGGTGGGGTCATGATCAAGGGGGCGGTAGGAGGAAGTGTCAGAGAGTTGACGCCTGGCCTCGGCAATGTAGAGGTCAGTGCGCCATACCACAACTGCGCCACCCTTGTCCTCGGGTTTTATAGTGAGGTTAGAGTTGGAGTGGAGGGCTGCACGTTCTGTGGGGGAAGAGGTTGGAGTGGGTGACAGGGGTGAAGAGGTTGAAACAATTGATGTCATGACAGCAGTTGGAGATGAAGAGCTCGAGGGAGGGTAGGAGGCCTTGGGGTGGTGTCCAAGAGGAAGAGGTGTGTTGGAGGCGGGAGAAAGGGTCAGTGGAGGAAGGGTCACCGGACCCGAAACGCTAACTGTTTTTTCCTTCACAGATACTGCCAGACTTGCTGGAGACGCTCAGCCACTTTGTTTTTGTGTCAGTTGGGGGGGTTAGGCTGGCGATTAAAGTAGTAAGTGCGGAGGCAGAGGTGGCAGAAAAACTGTCTATGTCCAGGCGTGAGCGGTATTCATTGATGTTCGGGGCAAGGGGGATAAAGGTGAGCCCTTCACTGAGGACTGACCATGCGTCCTCAGTGAGGGGGGGAGGTCTGGGGAGATGGTGAACACCCGGCAGGACCGGGGGCTGGTGTTTACTGTGGAGCTGCTGGCTGTGGGTGGAGCGGCAGGGGCAGTGGGCGGAGCAGCGTCGGCAGGTGCGTCCTCGATACCGAGACCGATAGCACTACCAACAATGGAGGCAGCGGTATCAGCATTGCGGATGGCAGTAGCCGTACCACTGGCGTGCCCAGGCGTCAGCGGTTGTGACATCATCCGTGAAGTCTGCAGGTGCCACGATAATGGCCACATGGTCAATAGCAGCAGGCACATTGTGGGAAGGTCCTGGGTAGGATTGGGGACTTGAGGGTTGGAAGAGGCCTGTGTTGGGTGGCAGGTACCCAGTAAGTTTAGTATACTTATGATTTTTAATGTCCAATAAGGCGGAGTAGAATCATGAGTTGAGGTTGTGGATCGTGCAAAGAATGAAGAACAGGAAAAGTCCTTTGCAGGTCTGGGAGAGGTAAGCTCTGAGCTGGGGTACGCTTGATTGGAGGGCCTGGAGATGCTGGCACATTGCTGCAAGTGTGTGCTCGAGGAGTCGCAGAGAAGAGAGTTTTTGGAGGATCTGAATGTTCTGTATGTAGCGGTCATCACGGTTGAGGCCAAATTGGGATGGTCCAAATGTAGATTGCAGTCCATTTGGGAAATTCAGAAATTCTTCTGAAGAAGAGTCCAGACCCGAAACATCAGCTTTCCTGCTCCTCTGATGCTGCCTGGCCTGCTGTGTTCATCCAGCTCTACACCTTGTTATCTCATCTTTCTAATCTGATTTTTCTTACAGCAATTTGCATATGGCTCAGGCAATAATACAAATGTGACCTTATGCTTCTTAACCTGGCATTTAACCTTCAAATAGATATGCAGAACCACCTGCGCCTTGGTACCCATGTGGCACATAATGACTGGATCCCAACACCTCCCCTCCAGAAGCAGACATCTGCAAGTCTGGCAGCAGGCAACACAGATGTCTGGATTCAGCTCTTTCCTGGGAAAGCTGTCAACTCCCTCACTATACTGTCTCCTACTGCCACTGCATTCCTTCTTACATCCTCTCGAATGGCATCCTGTACCATGGTGCCACACAGCAATTCACCTTCACTGGTCAGCCCTGACTACAATCTATTCAAGCTACTGGTTGAAGGCAAAAGGGCCCTAGCCTACAAATCCCCTTAACTACGTCACTTGAAGTCACAGTCTCCCACCTCTGATCATCAACCAAACAATCCAACTTTAGGCAGGGTGACCTGGTTCAATCAATTCAGCTCAAGCTCTGAGCCAAAGCTGCTCAAACTTCACAACACTTGCCACAAGCATGCTTATTTTGGATCAAGCCAGCATTCTGGAGTTCCCAGATGTTGCAAGTGCAACATAATCCATTGACACTTAAATTATGTTTAAGGAACTACTTAATTACATTCCACTTTACTGTTAATGTTTTTATATATTTCATTAACCTTAACATATTGAACCTCAGGAATAGAATAAACCTTAGTCACCTACCAAGATACTCACCAAACATTAGCTATTTGTAATAGCACAAATTCTGTAGACTGAAAGAGCTTAGGAAACACAACAGCAGAACACTTCTTTCCCTTCTTCCAATACCCACTTTAGTACCCAAGTTTGATCTCCAATGATGCACTGCCACATTAATTAGGTTAGTTTTATATGTTCTAAGATAAAACACCTTACCTGACTCAATGTAGTTTCAGCTACTTTTTAAGTACAACTACTTATTGAAGCCTTGTTAAAACCCACACAGGGCTGGCAACTACAGAACTGATTTTGTTACAGACTTCAATTTACAAAGTTAGATTTGCACAAGAAGAGATTTTCCTATCCAAATTGTGCTCAATAAATCTGCACAAAATGACATTTTAAAAATATACTTAAAAATAAACTCTACCAGTGTTTCAGCTCCAGTATTGTACAATTAATTCAACCCTTAGTTACAGAGATGGCAAATGCTAGATGCCAAACAATTAGCTCAACTCGTACCGAAATCCAACGCTTCCTTCAGGAGAATGATTAGCAGGATTTCTACGTCGCTTATCTTTCCAATTTGTATAGGGATAAACTGTTGCCGAAATCAATTTGGCTGTAAACCTCAGCAGGCATGATGCGCAAGAGATGTTTGCTGGGCCTTGTCCCAGTCACATGCCCTGGCGCTGGATCACGCAGGTTGGAAGGAAGGAAGCGGCCAAGGCCGGACTACGACTCACCCGCCCCTCACCTTCACACTGAAGATCGATGAGGACCAACAGGAAAGGGATGTAGGAGTTCACTTTCCTCAGGCAGGCCCGTGGCGCTACCATCCCGAAGCCTTCAAATCCTCGAGCGTGCAGCGGGGCGCGAAGCTCTACCTCGGCCCGAGTTGATCTTCACTTGCCGGCTGTCCGGAAGAAGCTACTTTCCCCCCCCTCCGCCCCAAGTCACTGTTTCACCGGGACTCTGGGCCGCAATCAAGGATTCAGAATAACCTCTGCTGGTATCAGACCGCACGCTGCTGGGTTGATTCCCTCCCCACTGCCGCGCAGTGATGAATTGATCCCATCCCCGCGGGCGACTCAGTGCTCAGTTAATGCCTTCCTCGCAAGGTCTTTCTCTCAAAATCCAGACCTATCAGTCGTGGTCTGCTCTGATTGGACAGCAAGAGAGCAGATGACTCCCACTCCGAATGGGCAGCAGCCGCGCAAGACTCCACTCCACACCCTGACGAACTGGATGACGTGGGACTCCGAAACAAATCCCGTCTCAACAGTTCTGGCCCCGCCCCTAGTGAGCACCTTGCCGTCCCGCTGCCCCGCCCCTGACAAAATAGCCCCGCCCTTCTGCGTTGACTGTGCTCCCGCGCCGCTCCAAGCCTGTAATTCCCTCGCTGAACCTGCGTCAGGATCATCATGGCCCATGTAGCGCCTCTGCAGTGGGGCTCCACCGTTTCGCTCCCAATGTACTGGAGGATTTAAGTCCACAATCCATTGCAGCAGCACAGAGAATTTCAACTGTACTGAATAAAAATTTCCAAAATAGATCTAGCGTCAATAATTATAATCATGAGAAATTAGGCCATTCGGCCCATCGAACCTATTCTACCATTCGATCATGACTGATATGTTCCTCAAATCCGTTATCCTGTCTTCTCCCAATAACCCTTGATCCCCTTACAAATGAAAAACCTATCCATCTCTGCCTTAAATACACTCAATGATTTGGCCTCCAAAGACTTCTGCGGCAATAAATTTCACAGATTAACCACCCTGAAAGAAATTATTCTGCATCACAGTTCTCAGGAGTCATCCCTTCATGTTGTGGATGTACCCTCAGGACCTAGTATCTCCAACTAGTGGAAACACTCCACATCCACTATTCCAGGCCTGTAGGTTCTATAAGTTTCTATCAAATCCCCACTCATTCTTTTAAATTCCATCAAGTATAGACTGCAGTTCTCAACTGCTTCTCATATGAAAAGCCCTTCATCACCAGGCAAACCTCCTCTGGACACCCTCCAAGGCCATCACATTCTTCCTTAGATATGGGACCAAAACCGCTCACAATATTTAAGATGCAGTCTGAGAAGAACCTTATACAGCCTCAGCAACACATCTCTGGTCTCATATTCTAGCCTTCTTCAAATGAATGTTAATATTGCATTTGCCTTCCTAACTACCAACTGAACTGCAATGTTAAGACAATTCTGAATTAGGACTCCCAAGTTCCATTGTGCTGCAAATGCCCATATAGAAAATAGATTAAGTCTTCATTTTCCTACAAAAGTGCACATCCTTTCATCTTCCCACATTATATTCCATTTGTCACTTCTTTGCCCACTCTCTTAGCCTGTTCAAGTCCTCCTAGAGCCTCCCCACTTCTTCAACACAACCTATCCCTCCGCTTATCTTTGTGTCATCTACAAACTCAGCAACAATGCCCCTTGATTCCTTCATCCAGAATGTTAATGTGTAGTTGTGATCTCAACACTTTTCCCTGTGGAAAACTACTATTCACTGACTGCCATCCGGAAAAGAAACGTTTATCTGCACACTTTGCCTTCTGCTGGTCAGCTAATCCTCTAACCATGCCCCTAACACCATGGGTTCTTGCTTATTTAGCAGACGGATGTGCTGCACCTTGTTAAAGGCCTTCTGGGAATCCAAATAGATCATGTCCACTGACTCTCCTTTGTCTAACTTGCTCGTTACCTCCTCAAAGAATTCTAACTGATTTGCCTGGTATGACCTTCCTTTGACAAAACTGTGCTAAAGCTGTTATACCAAGCACTTCCAAGTATTCTGCCAGCTCATTCTTAATAATGTGCTCTAAAATATTACTGACCACCAGGTCAGGCTAACTGGCTTTTATTTTATGTCTCCCTCCCTGCTTAAACAGGGGCAGTACATTAGCCATTTCCCTGTCCTCTGGGACCCTCCCTGATTCCACTGATTCCTGAAAGACCATTGCCAATGCCTCTATAACCTCCTCATCTATCTACTTCAAAACTGTGGGGGGGTAGTCCATCTGTTCTGGATTATTCAGAGCTTTCAGCTTCCCCAACACCTTCTCCTTCAGACAGGCCACGACACTCATCTTTGCCCTCTGACTCTCTTAAAAGTTCTGGTATGCTGCTGGTGTCTTCCACTGTGAAAACTGATGCAAAGTACCTATTCTGTTCCTCCACTGTTTCTTTACTCCCCTTACTACTTCCCTAGACTCATTTTCCAGCAGTCCAATGTCCACTCTTGCCTCTCTCTTCCCTTTAATCTATCTAAAAAGACTGTTGCAATATTATTTTATATTACTAGCCAATTTACCCTTGTGTTTCATTTTCTTCCTCATTACTTTTTTAGTTGTCTTCTGCTGGTTTTTAAACGCTTCCAGTCCTCTGGCTTCCCACCAATTTTCACCACATTTTATGCCTTTTCCTTTGCTTTTATGCTGTTCCTGACTTTCCTTGTCAGCCTTAGTTGCCTCGTTCTCGCCTCAGTATGTTTTTCCTTCCTTAGGATGAATTTCTGCTGTGCCTCCTGAATTATTCCCAGAAACTCCTGCCATTGCTGCTCCACTGTCTTCTCTGTTAGGCTCCCCTTCCAATCAACTCTGGCCAGCTCCTCCTTCATATCTGTATAGTTACCTTTATTCAATTGTAACACCGTTACATCTGATACTAATTTCTCCCTCTCAAACTACAGATGAATTCTTTCACATTTTAGACACTGTCCCTGAGGGGTTCCTTCATGTTAAGCTCCCTAAAAAAATCTACCTCATTACACATCAACAAATCCACATTTGCCTGTTCCCTACGGGGCTCTTCACAAGCTGCTCCAAAAATATCATGTTGTACACACTCTACGAATTCCTTTCCTTGAGATCTGTGACCAACCTGATTTTCCCAGTGCACCTGCATATTGAAGTCTCCTATGCATATTATAATAGTACTTTTCTTACATGCCATTTATATCTCCAGATTGATTTTCTTCCCCCATCCTGCCTACTGCATGTATTTCACTCCCATCAGAGTCTTTTTTACTTTGTGGTTCCTCAACTCTACCCACACAAAATTCTATGCCTAAAGTACTATATTAAGTCTTGCTATTGATTCAATTTCATTTTTTACGAACAAGGTAACTCCAACCCTTCTGCCCATCTGCCTGTCATTTCAATAGGACGTGGATCCTTGGACGTTTAGTTCCTAGTCCTGCTTCCCTTCAGCCATGTCTCTATGATATCCAGATACGCACAATATCGTACTAACAATTTCAACATGTGCTACAAGCTCATTTACCTTGTTATGTGTACTAGTCCTGCATTGACTGCCTCTCTTCTCATCGTTGTCCCCTTATCTGCTGTGCCATGAAATTAGATAACTGACACTTTCCATACTCTTTGTCCTATTGCTTATTCTGGAAGCTGTAATAACCTCTGCTGAGCCCTCCCCATTGAGAAGACCCATTGAGTTTCTCCTACACTTTTTGTTATTATTATTGTCTACTGCACTAAAGCATTTTAGGGAAGAAAATCAGGCATCTTTACCAAGTCACAGATACCTGTAACTCCACACCCCAGCAATAATGGTTAACTGTCAACTGTAGTTAGTGATGAAGGGAGTTTGGCTGTTGATGCTATAGCATGAAGGTTTGAAGTCTCCCTGCCAAATCTCCCATTATCAAATACTGAAAGTTCAGACAATAGAAACTAAGTTATAAGTATCACTGACTTCTTCTGGGTGGATTAATCTACATCTTCAGAAAATCAACATAGAAACAATCGTATACACTGACATAGCAATAAGAAACTTTCTGTGGAAAGCACGCTTCCTGAAAAAAAGCAAACTTCTAGCTTTCTCCCATCTGCAAACAGCACAATCAAATACGATTAAAATTCAGTTTTTCCATAAATAATACAAAGAACATATGAATCAAAACACCTTCATAATTGAATTAAGAAACACATGTAAAATTTCTCACAGATCCCTATCTTGAGGATGACATGCATGCTTACATTGACTTTTCAAATAACAACGTGTCAAATTATCTCTGCAATTTATCTACAAATTCCTTTTGCCTGCATAACAAAGAGATCCTGTATATTAATATTTCAAGCTTCTAGCATACGCAAAATCATCACAGTGTAAGCCCAATTGATAATCTTAAATTAATTTCTGGCATAATTCTGATTGCAGTATTTCCATTGGTGGATGTGTTTCTGCTGTTGGAAAATATTTATTACAGAATGCAGACCACACTAAGAGTTAAAATTTGCACAGTTTGGACATTTATGTATTCCTTTAACAAGAGCTAATTTCCCTGATCAAAATATTAGGCAGCTGTTAATGGAATCAGAAGATCATAGTGTCTTTGAGGTATACAGCACAGAAAAAAGGTCCTTTAGCACATCAAGTTTGCACTGATCAAAAACAATCACCTAACTATTCCAATCCAATTTCCAGCACTTGATCCATAGCCTTGTATGCCTTGGAATTGCAAGTGCACATCTAATTATGTGTTAAGTGTTATGAGGATTTCTGCCTCTGTCATCCTTACAGGCAGTGAGTTCCAACTTTTCATGAAAACAGTTTTTTTCTCACATCTCCTGTAACCCTCCCGCCCCTTAAGTCCTTAAGAGGGATTATTGATCCATCCCTCTGCTCCAATGAAAATAAGCCCAGTGTGTCCAATCTCTTTCCGTTAGTAAAACCCTCTTGCCTAGGCAACATCCTGGTAATAGGATACAGGAGGTAAAAGGAAAAAGAAGGCTAATTATTTTAAAACTACATCAGCAGTATGCCCATTCATCTTCTCACAGGTTAAAATCCCATTAAAGGATGCAGGAGCAAGTGATAATGGATACACTAAACCTACAGAAGAGATCAGGACTGAATGTAATGTATGTAATAGCCCATAGTGAGTCTCCCATTAATGAGACACTTTAACAAGTAACATTGGACTTGAAGGTAAGGAAAACAAAAAAAAATCTTACCCTTCATAGATTTGGTAACTAGATTTTGTCAGTCGACAGTAATACATGAGCACAGACAGGCATTTACAGGGACACAATCATGCCTTTCTGCAGCCTTGAGCAAAACTCCAGGATTGTGTGTTGCTTCCCTAGGTGCCAGGATCAAAGATGCCTTGGGGCGGTTGCAGCAAATTCTGAAAGGGGAGCATGTGCAGCCAGAAGTTGTTGTACACATTGGTACCAACAACATAGAGTTATAAAAGCTGGACC